ATTAAAAACTATTTGTTGTAGAAAATGTAGTATTTAAAAATTCAGTTTCTTCTAGATTTTAAATTTTTAATTACCACATTTTATTGTTTAGTTCTTTAATAATGCATCCTGTTTTGAAAATGAATTTTAATTGCCTAAGTAATAGTGAAGATTTAACTTGTTGGCAGACCTCTTTATCATTTATTGCTAGCCCAACTGTAACTAGTTTAGAAAATGCTCCTGAGTTAGCTCCCTTGATCTGATGCAATAATTGCCTAGTGTGAAATAATGCTCCAGCACTACCAGCAGTATTTACTTAAAAAAAAATCACATTTAATGGTTCTCATGTTTCACAGCTTTTTTAGAACCTATTTTCTTAAGTGATCTTTTTGCAATTCTGTATATTAGCGATTCAGCAGGTCACGCAGTGAAATAGCATCTTTGCATTAATCAACAGCCAAGATGTATATCTTAGGCATCACCTAAGATTGATGGCCACTCACAAAAGATTATTTATGTATGATTCCTTTTATATGAAATACCCGAAGTATGCAAATTTCTGGAGAAAGACTGTGAATTAGTGATTGCCTAGGGGGAAGATGAGAGGAAATGGGGAGTGACTGCTCATGGGGATAGGGTTTTATTTTTGGAGTAATAAAATCGTTCTAAAATTAGATTATGGTGATAGTCACACAACTCTGTAAATGTACTAAAAATCATTGAATTGTACACTTAAAATGATTGAATTGTATCATGTATGAATTATATCTCAATAAAACTATTATATTTAGAAAAATAAAAGAAGGCAAAGTTGGCTTTGGATTTCCTAAAGTAGTAGACAGAGGCATTATTTCTAACCTATGTAGTAGTATGACAACCAGCAATCATAATCTCTAAAAACAAAGAGCTAGTTTTAAACTCCACTGGCATTACTTTTCTCTAGAAAAATGTATTCATTTGCTCACTCCTTCAACAAATTAGTGTTTATTGGGCCCTACTGAGTACCTGACACTGTTGTTGGTACCAGGAACTCAATTATGTTCCTGATTCTTCTCTTTTCTTCGTCTCCAAGTGCAATCACTCACCAGGTCACATCAAGTCTATTTGATACCATTTAGTCCATCCCTGTGTTCTCTTTCCTGTTTACCAATGTGCCTGGTTCCTTTACCCAGTCTGGTGATTCTCAGCCACAGTGTTAATACTAGTAAAGTACCAAAGTGTTTGATGATTTTAGTATAATATTGTTTATGTTTTTCTATACTGTGCATTAGATCTCTAGGACTTATTTACTACTTGTTGCAAGTCTATAACCTTAAACAACATCTGTCCTATCCCCTAAGCACCATCCCCTGGTAACCACCATCTTACTCTATTTCTACGAGTTTGTCCTTAGATTCCACCTGTAAGTGATATTATACAGTATTTATCTTTCTCTGTCAGTTAGCATAATGTCCTCAAGATCCAAAAATCTCTTTCTAACATCCATATCTGATCATGGCATTTTCCCAATTAGATTTCTCCAGTGACTCTGCATTGCATGTGAGAGAAACTTTAAATTTCTTTGCATGATATGCTAGGTCGTTCATGATCTTGCTTCTATCTTTCTGTCCGCCTTCATCTCCAGCAAGGCATAGCCTCTCTGCTTCCATGCCTTTGCATGTGCTCTTCTGTCTGTCAGGAAGGCCCTTCCCATGATTTGTGAGTGGCAAACTCCTTCTTTCAGGTCTCTCCACTCTGTGAAGTAGACTTAAGTTTCTTCTGCAATGCTCCCACTGTGTTTTGTAATAGCACTTTTCATGGTTCACTATAATTATTTAATACGTTGCTTTTCTTTTATATTTTTAGCTCCTTGAGAACTGGTACCTTGTCCTTTTATCTTTGTATTCCCAGCTTTTACCATAGAATCTGGTACAAAGTAAATGCCCAATAAATATTGGCTGAATAAGTTTAAAATGAGTTTCTCCAAAAATTTTAATTTTTCCTGAGTGTTTATATATTACAATACATGATGAAATTAAGGATTAAAAATACTTGTGTGACTCTATATCCCATGTTTCCTGGAGCAGTGCCAATTTTAAATAGTCTAGTGTATTGACCTTTAAGTATAAATGTAGTTACTAAAACATAGTTACTACTTCTTTGTTTAGAAATATATGCAGTGAACCCAAATCTTAATTTTTAATTGTTTACAATTTATTTTTATATTTTGATTTCATGTACTCTATGTCCTTTTTCTGATTCAGATCACTTTGAAAGCAGTAGATAGTGAAAAGTTGAAATTTAGGATAGAATAATACATAGTTTTTCTCCTTCTCTCATTTTGCTGTGTACTTTGGGACTAATTACTGCATATCTGTATTTATATGATAACAATTATGGGATTTTTAGAAATCTTTAGGTATAAGGAGATCTGCATAATAAAATTAAGATTGGTACCAAGAGCTGCACTCTCAAAAATGTTCTGACTTTAGGATGCTGGGATAGTAGTAGCTCCTGATCTTTTTGGACTTCTGTTATTCTGGTGTGGTTTCTTTGATTTGGGGACCCAAATTTTACCCCTTGCCCTTCTTGTAAAGGTAAATTATTTATCTGTAAATCAAATAGATTAAAAATAATCTTGTTTTGAGAACTCATTAATACCCTCAAGCTAATTGGAGTTTACATAGCATATCACATGGCCATGGAGGGTAATCATACATGAAAATGCATGTCAGAGACACTCTGAGAATTCCCAATCAGGGTCTGGAATTGGGCCTAACTTATTACTGTCTTCGACTAGAGAGGAGAGAAGTGTTAGCAGAGTAAAAACAGTGAGGGTTTGGAGCTAGAAAGCTTGGGGTATAAATCATGTTTCTGTGACCTACTATCTATGTTTCTTTGGATAAATCAATCTCTTTGAGCTTAAGTTTCCTCATCTGCAAAATGAGATAATACCTGCCTGAAATGGTTATGAAAATTAACAGTAATTTCTAGAATAGTAGTGCCTAGTTAAGTTCTTCATAAATTGTAACTCCTATTTGATTAGTATTAGTAAAACCCTGGCAATAGGTAAAAGGTTTTTCTGTTACACTAAGTATTGTGTAATTTGTCTTATTGAGTAGTTGTTATACTGTTTCTTGTTTCCCAAGCAGGTTGGTCTTTGAGATTCTAAAAACAAAGTGGTTTACAGATGACACAAATCAACAAGCAGAGTCAATGATTATTCTCACCTTGTCCAGAAGACCACATTCCTTCACAGCTGTCCCCTAACATTCCAGTTAGAGGACAACATGAATCCGTGTGCTTTCATTTTATTATGCATAATCTTGTTAGTACTTCTTCCTGCCTACACAGGTTCCTGGTCATGTTAAGGAGTTCATTTGGCCAGAATTCCTTGGTCTAGTCAGTCTCAGTGTCTCTCTCTTTCAAACCTTCTCCACAATCTGATATCTAAATTAGAGTCTTTTCACTCACAACAAATAATCTTTCTACATTACAGGAAAAAAAAAAAAAAAGAACAAAGAGGAACTTTACTTTCTTAACCTCCAGCCATTGAATCTACAAACCTCCTTGTTTGTTGACCCCCTCTTCCCGTACTGCTTCCTGTTCGTGTGTGTCGTATTAAGACCCTCCCTTGATCCATGCCTGCCTCCAGTTACTGCTCTGTGTGCTTTTGCTGTGCAGGCAAACTTTCTGAAAGAGCTGTCTAGAGTCACTCTTCTGTCTCCCCCCCAAGTCACTATATCCAATCGCTGAAATTTGACTTTGTTTACTCGACTTGCCTGGAACTGTGCTCACCCTCCTGATTGCTAAATCCTGTGGCCACATCTCTGTTCTTACCTTGATCTCTGGACAGTGGGCACATAGGACTACTTATTTCTGCTTACTTCCTTGTTCTGTGCACCATACTCTCCTGTGGCTCTTCCTGCCTCTGCGGCCACTCCTGTTCAGTCTCTTCTTCCTCTACCTGCCCCTTGAATGTTGATGTTTTCTCCTAGGCCCTTTACACCTTTTCCTCAGGATTTAGGAAGTGCTAAGTGAATATTTGCTGAATGAATGAATTTTGTCTGTGTTTATGGTTTCTCAAGAGATTTGACTGTAATTGGACCTTATTAACTGAAGAAATTGTGATATATAGTACCTGATGTTGCACTTCACAACCAAACTGTAGTCTAGTCTCTCTGAACCATGATTATCTTAAACTGCTGTACTACAAACTTGCAGTGAAAAAAATGGAAGCTCATTATTCAGTTTCTATGTCTGCGAGTTAGCTTTTTCTAAGTTCTCTGTAAATAAAAATTACAAAGGTAATTTTAAAGAGCTACATTATCCCAGTTTTTTTTTTGTTTTTTTTTTTTTTTGAGGAAGACTGGCCCTGAGCTAACATCTGTGCCCATCTTCCTCTACTTTATATGTGGGACGCCTGCCACAGCACGACTTGACAAGCGATGTGTAGGTCCACACCCGAGATCCATACTGGTGAACCCCAGGCCGCCGTAGCGGAATGTGTGAACTTAACCACTGCGCCACTGGGCCAGCCCTTCATTATCGCAGATTTTTATACCAGTTTGAGAGTTTACAGATATCTTGTAGCATAGCTGTCCATCCTCAATAAAATACCTTATTTGGAGTAGCAATTTAATTTAAATATGCTCTGAAATATATACTCTGAAGTTTAGGATTAGAAGAGGGAGGAGAATTAATATTTAATGAAACTATTTTATGCCAGACACTGGCCTGTCTGTTTGCCTACATTGTATGTTTTCATCTTCCAACAACTCTGGGAGATACACATTCTTAGTTATCTTGAAGAGGGAAGAAAACGCAGGTTAAGGGAGGTTAAATAGATTGTAATTGTAACATACAGCTACTAAAATTCAGAACCAGAATTCTCTCAGACTTTATAGCCCATGCATCTTTTCCAAATGACACTGAAAATATGAGCTGGAGATGAATGCTAAATATAGAAATAAGTGGTATAAGTACTTGAGTTTAGTAAATCTAAATTGTATTAAAAGTTGTGTGTGTCATTTTGTCCCTAGGCAGTTATTTGGCAGAAAACGAGAGTATCAGATCATAAGATGGCTCTCATGTCTGTTCTGGGGACTGCTGTTATGGGCAATATGGAATCCGTGCAGTACCACTCAGAAGAATCTCAGGTATGCAACAAAAGTGTTCTTTAAAATGTCTCATTTACCAATGAAACTGTTAAACTAGTTTGGGGCATTGGGATGGCAAGAGGTTTTTCTTTTAACATTTTTATCAAATATGTATTAGGTAAAAAAGAAAATAGAGAGCTTTTATAGTAAACCTCTCTCCCCAGCCCTACTTCCCCTTTTTGTCTTTCCTGGTTTTGATTTTTTTTTTTTTGAGGAAGGTTAGCCCTGAGCTAACATCTGCCGCCAATCCTCCTCTTTTTACTGAGGAAGACTGGCCCTGAGCTTACACCCGTGCCCATCTTCCTCTACTTTATATGTGGGACGCCTGCCACAGCATGGCTTGCCAAGTGGTGCCATGTCCACACCCAGGATATGAACCAGTGAACCCCCGGGCTGCCGGAGCAGAATGTCCCAACTTAACCGCTGCGCCACCAGGCTGGCCCCTCTTGTTTTAAATTTTAAGTATTGTGCTTACGTTAGTTTTTTTAATGATTTTCAATTTAGGATATCATCTATTTATTTTACACGATGAAAGAAAAAGAGTTGAGTTCTCTTACCTTTGTTTTCCCTTTCCCATCCTAAATAAATACTCTGTCTTCCTTTTCTTGATCTAGCAGCTTCAGACAGAACTTCTTAAGTCCTTATAATACTGGATGAGGTTATTAACACTCCCACTCTTTCTTCTGCTTGCCCTTTCCTCTCTCAGTCATGTCAGCTTTACTTTTATGTTATCAAGCTTAATATAACCTATTTTCTTATGTAACCATTTTTTAAGTCTTCCATCTTTTATTTGAAGATTGATTCTAAAAGTTGAAAACTTATATGGAGCGCTCATTGTTATGACTATAAATAATCTTCATTGCAAACCCAAGTATTGTGCTAGGATTACATTTTCTCTCTAGGGATCCAATGTTATGTCTCTATGTCATACAAATGAGAATATTCCTATTGTCCCAATTAAATGGAATCTCCTTTTTTGTTCTCCCATCAATTGCTCAGAATTTGTCATGTTTTTGTTGCTTTATGTATGGGCTTTCTTACGTAGTTTTCTGCTTTTCCTGGGTTTCCAAAAGTTTTTCTTTTTTCCTTTTTTGAAGTGAAGAAACTTTCTTCCTCATGTCAGCAATAAAATCCAGCTCTTTTACTTATTCTAGCTAAAACTGGTGATCCATTCCATTCCATTCTTTTTGAAATCATTGTTATTAGAACCCACATATTTCTTACTTGGATTGATTGCATGTCAGGTGTTCTGCACAACTCTCATCCTGGAATTTCTTTTCATAGGACTACTGGTTTTGTCCACCATTTTTTGTTTTTCGTGCCACCTTCTTTCTCGGTATTCATTCTCATTTTTCTGATAATACATCTTTAAGTAACTTCCACAGAAAGTGGACATGAGAGGTAGACTTCGGTGTCTGAGAATGATTTTATTTTGCATTTTCTCTTGTTGATAGTCTGATTGACAGAATTCTAGATTGACATAATTTTTCTTCAGAATTTTGAAGACATTGAGTATCTTTGACCATCTGTTATTGCCAATAGGAAGATTAATGCATTCCAGTTCTTTTCTTCTAGGTGATGTGGTTTTTTCCTATCTGAAAGTTGTTAGAATCTGTCCTTCATCTTTGTGCAAGGATGTGTCTAGGTGTGTATCTTTTATTATTTATTTATTTATTAGGCTGAACACTTGGTGTGAGACCTTTTGAATCTGAAGACTCATTGCTATTTCGGCGCTGGATTATGTATTTCCGTCTGTCATAACTTAGATAATTTCTGGTGTTTTGTTTTTTGGTGAGGAAGATTCACCCTGAACTAACATCTGCTGCCAATCTTCCATTTTTTTTTTTTTGCTTAAGAAAGATTAGCCCTCAGCTAACATCTGTGCCCTAGGAAATTCATTTCATCTCTTTCCCTCCCCTCCATTATTTTTCTTCTTCTTTTTCTCTTTCTGGCACAAAATTAAACTGTAATTGGTTCATGACGGATTGTCCTTTTTCAGTTTCTTTATAGAACCACCCATTTGTTTGTTGTTCTTATTTATCTGGCTTTAAGCCTGAAGGCTTTCTGTTCTACTGGTCAGTCAGCTCTCTGTTCTACTCTTCTCCTTTTTCATGATTTGTTGAAATCTCTTTTCTGCTACTGGTTTCCCTCCTATTCTCTTTGCAGTACTGAATTCTTAACTGTTATCATTTTATTAGAGTCTTAGATGGGAGCTTGTGGTCAATTAATGTGTCAAGAGTTCTTTCTGCCTGAGGAACAATTCAGGCCAGCCTTTGTGCCCAACTGTAGTGCCTGGAGCATGGCTGTGATCTGACATGGGTCCTGTCTTTCAGAGCTCCCTTAATAGTTGTTTAATAGTTTTGACACACCTCAGTGCCTCCTTAGACTGGTTATGGTTCCATGTGTGGATGGGGCTATCACATGAGTCAGTCTTACAGTAGGGAATTTTTTTCTCTGATCTGTATTGATATGTGTTGCTACATCTATGCTTACCCATTGATTTTTTTTATTTTCTCTTGAGATAGAATTGCTTAAGGGCTGCTGGTAATCTATCATGGATACCAAAACTTTTGCTGCACCTTCATGTGGTTATTCTTGAGTGGAGGAATGGGGGACTTTGGGAAGCACGTGTTGCTGAGTGGTTCCAGTTCCGTGGGCTATCAGAATGATAAATTGTTGAGCGTCTCTCTAGTGAGAGTGATTGTCTAATTAAATCCCCTCTTCTGTTCATGCACTGTGTTTCTAAATTGCTCTTGTACTTATGTTGCCATCAGCTACCCATCACCATTCCATGCTTTCTGGGCTTGTAAGGAGAGGTGGCCTGTATCAGAGTTTCTTTGACCCCTTCTCATTCCTGGCCCAAAGCAATCTTAAGTTGTTTGCCAACTGCCAGTGGTTGTCCCTTCTCACCCGTTTTCTATCCCTTTTACTTACCTTCAAGTTGTGAGACTTGGCCACTAAAGCCCCTTCGCTGGACTGGGATGGCAGATGCATAGGCCATTGGGAACCTTGGGTGTAGAGAATCTTTATATATCTCTTTCCATTAATGTTCAGGGTCCGTTTTTTATCTACAGGGCCTGCATATGGGAAGAATCTCCTATTTATGGATGGTGGTCTCAGCTGCATCACTGCTGTGGTGGCATTTCTTAGGAGTTTCCCAGTGTTAATTTGTTGTCTTGATGGAGCTCCTCAAGTTTGTTTATTTATTTATTTATTTATTTATTTATTTATTTTTGACATCTGTCTTTTCTTTGATATTTTTCTCTCTGCTTTACTCCATGCCACATTCTGGGTGAATTCCTCAGTACTGCCTGATTTTTATTCCCAAGCTATATTATTTTATGTCCAAGATTCAGAGTTTACTCATTTTCCTATTCTTCTCTTCTAAACTTGATTTATAGCTACTAGTTTTGATTTCTTTATCTTTGAGGGTTTTTTTCCAATGGATGTTATTTTTATTTACTCTTTTAAAAACATGGTACATATACTAATTTCAAAGTCTTTCTTATATTAGTCTATAATTTCTACTTTCCTGAGAGAATATTCTCTCATTCTGTGGTATTTAATATGCTTTGAAATTTTAATTTGCAGAATCACCTTGAATACAGATTTACTGTTCTTGTTTTACTTTTTTCTTCCCTACGTTCCCTTCCCTCCCCATGGTTCAGCAGATATCATTCTGCTCCCAGTCCCAGTTCAGAACCAGGCGTTATATTAGTTATGTATACATATATATTTTAAATTTATATATATAAATATATATCTATATATTTATATTAGATATATTTGTATTATAAATACATAAATATATATTTTTATATATTTATATATGTGTTATGTTATATATATTTATATATATTAATGTTATATGTATTTTTTATATATATATAGTCTGCCAAGGTTTTAGAGACCCTTTTTCCTAGCTGACTTGGCTTAGTCTTATTCTTGGTTTGGAGTTGTCTGTGCTCTTTCTTGTGATCCTTGCAAGCAGCTCCAAGCAGTGGTCACAGTATTTTTTATTTTTTTTTTTTAAAGATTGTATTTTTTCCTTTTTCTCCCCAAAGCCCCCCAGTACATAGTAGTATATTTTTCGTTGTGGGTCCTTCCAGTTGTGGCACGTGGGACGCCGCCCCAGCGTGGTTTCATGAGCAGTGCCATGTCCGCGCCCAGGACTCGAACCAACGAAACACTGGGCCGCCTGCAGCGGAGCGCGCGAACTTAACCACTCGGCCACGGGGCCAGCCCAGTGGTCACAGTATTTTTAAGCATTTGGAGGAGGGGGCTGTCTCAGTCACTCATGTCCAGTGGAAAGACTGATTTCAATCCCCTGCCTAGTATGAGGTGTTTTCTATCCCTATTTCCATACCAGCATTTAATTTCCAACTGACACAGCTGGTTTATGATCCTAGAGCACATAGAGCTTTTGACTTCAGCCATCACTCCCTGTTAGGTTTTGCATCCATAACATCTTTCTGTTTGTCTTATTTTAAATGGTTAGGTCTTTCAAAATTTTTGTAAAAACTGATTTTATCTATCACTGCAATGTATTTGCGGTTGGGGTGGGGGAGAATAGAGTTTCTGCATGACTTATTCCACTATCCTGAACAGAATTACTTAAATTATTACTTTAGAAACATAACTCCATGGTATTCTAGAAGTTTACTGAAAGAGGAGAAACACTAGTGTTAGGAGACACCAGTCAGAGTTACTTCAACAGAATCAGGGTAGAAGAGGAGATGGGTTTGACAGATTTGGGTAGGTGACACAGCTCTTTATCGTGATAAAGGAATACAGAGCCTATTGGATAGCAGGCTAGAAGTGGGATGAAGTGTCAAGTTTTGAATGTGGTGAGCTTGAGATTTTTGTGACAGTGAGTTGAAGAAAGTAAGCATTTGGGGGTGAAAGAAGTAGCATCACTGGTGTATGTGTATAGATGTGAATGAAATTACTCAAAGGGGTATAGAGCAAGAAAAAAGGGCCTGATGATGAAACTCAAGGGAATCATCCTCATTTATAGGGGTTAAGCAAAGGGAGAGATATCAGCAAATCAAACTAGAGAGGAAGTATCAGAGAGGAAGCAGAAAGACCAAAAGAGAAGGCTGAAACAGGTTCATGCTTCCCAAAGGAGAGATTGGCATTGGTGTCAGGGTCCGCAGAGAGTCAAATAAAAGAAGGACTGAGTGCCCATTGGAGTTGGTCATTGATGTAGAAGTCAGATTAAAGGAGGTTGAAGATGTAGGGAAGGAGAGAGGGAAGTCCATGATTGAAAAGCAAAAAGAGGGCTAGTATTTGTTTATATTTTTTCTTTGATTTTTGTTTTGCTGTTGAGGTTGAGGAATACTAGGGTACTCCTTTTAAAGTCTAATTTTTTTATTTTGTTGCACTGATTCGGTCTCTTACATTTTTTGTCCATAAACGAGCCTGATGTTAACTTTTTATAGCATTTTATAAGACTTTGCTGTTTGATTTTACTTTTCCATATAACAAATAATAGTTTGTTCTTTTTTTTTTGAGGAAGATTAGCCCTGAGCTAACTGCTGCCAATCCTCCTCTTTTTGCTGAGGAAGACTGGCCCTGAGCTAGCATCCATGCCCATCTTCCTCCACTTTATATGTGGGACACCTGCCACAGCATGCCTTGCCAAGCAGTGCCATGCCTGCACCTGTGATCTGAACCTGAGAACCGTGGGCTGCCGAAGCAGAACGTGCGCACTTAACCGCTGCGCCACCGCTGCAGCCCCTATAGTTCGTTCTTAAGGTTATCTCAAGACATTTTTAAAGCTCAGTGTTTGGAAGTAATAGTAATTGTTCAGTGGCCAACCAAAATGGTGTGAAAGGAAAAGACTACCAATATTACCAATTTTTTCTTCATTTTATTCTTCATTCTTACCTATTTGGGGCAGATTTTTTTCCTTTTTTAATTCACAAGCCCAATAAGTCTTTCAGAGACTAAACAGGTTCTCCCTGATGCTCAGCAGGTGCTTTAAGAGGGGTCTCATGTTGCCTGGTAAATTATACAACCATTTATAAATGCTGTGAAGTTTTACAGTTAATTAAGTAGTATCATTTTGTAATGGATTATCCAGCTTGCTTTATTTTTTTAAAATTGGCACAATTTGGCACTGTGACAATAATGCACTTAGCGTTCTAAAACTGGTAATGCATCTCCTTAAACACTTATTTTCGAGGGTAGAGATAGCCATAGACATAGGTGGCAGCCTACAGGCTTTGTAGATAAGGAGCCTCATGGTTTCTGCTTAACTAAAAATAGCACCCCCACTGACTCTCTCACTTTTCTAAACCTAAGCTGAAATTTTATCAGTGTTTCTTAACAGGTTTATAACACATCTGGTTCCAGTTGTTTTAGCTAAGAGATTGTAGGCCTTTATTTTAAATAACTTGACCAAGATCACATAACTAGTAGTGGAGCTAGGATCTAAATCATGCCAGTCTGTCTCTATTCTGTATTCTTAACAGTTCTCTATATTATCTTTAAAGGTAGAAGTAGGAGCATTTCCCAGCCTTCTGTTCCCCTCAATCTCTCTCTTCTCTCTGTTTTTTTTTTCCCTAGGATCCTTTGTTTTTTCCCTCCTCTTCATGCATTTGTAAAATAGAGAAAGATAGCATAAAAATCATTGGTTTGTCTGTAGAAAAGTTCTCTAGGCAAAATGAAGATAAAGTACAACACTGCTATTAGTGTCAAAGAGTAAAAGAGATTTTTTTAACTCAGAAATGAAAACCCAGTCACATTGACTTCATAGCATACTCAGAATAAAAACAGAAACAGCTACTTCTTTGTAGGAAAAGGTGCCTAAAAAGTAAAGGACAAACAGCTGGAGGAAAGTCACAAATAGGAAGAAAGAAATTTTTAAAAGTTCTAAGATAGGGTTGAGCACAGAGAGAGCAGTATTTATGCTGTGTGTCCTATAATGGTAAGGTATATGCCCATTCATGAAGTTTATGAATGCCAATTTTTCCTTAAAATAGAGTTGCAAAAAGAGAGAGGCAGCGAACACCAATTTAACATGCTTCAGTATTTTATTTAAGGTCAGTGCTCAAAAGAGTAGTCATCAGGAAATAAATGGCTCTTTATATCTTAAAATGAAAAATCCACTTGTTTATTTTTCTGTACCTATTAATGTACTGTATATAGCCAGACCCATGGAACCACATTTATTGTTGACATTGCATATCAATTCTATAATTATTTATTACAATTATAGATTTATCTAAGTGGATTTCTTCCAAAGCATGATGCGGACCACTCTTTCACAAGTCTTTCAACCCCAGAAAGGAGTTTCATCTTTATCAACAATCGACCAGTACACCAAAAAGACATATTAAAGGTAATCTGTTTTAGAAAAAGGTATCACTTGGATCAGAAATAAAAACTAGCTCTGTCATTCGTTAACTTGTTACAAGGACTGTTTCCAAGAATTTGCTCTAAAATGATTTGGAAAAGGAGAAAAAGAGATGCAATAACATTTATTAAGCATTGTGCTAGGTACCTTACATATGATGTCTCTGACTTTTCACAAAAACTCTGTGATGAGTTGTTATCCTTATTTATAGTGTAAAAACTGAAATGTTACTGACTTTCTTAGAGCACATAGGCAGGAAGTAACAGAGTTTGGGTTGAACCTTGGACTTTCAAACATCTATGATACTATGATCTTTTAACCATGAAGACAGTTGCACTGGATATTTATACATCTTAATGAATACTTGTGCTTCATAAAGGTTCCGGGCCTCTAAATAAGTATTACTATTCAGGTACAGCTTTTTGTAATAAGCAGTTGTATCCACTCAGTTTCTCAGTTAAATATGCTCCGTTTGGTGGTATTTTAAGGATGGCAATACTATCTTTATTTACATGATATTTTTGTTTTTTATTCATTACATATATTTTAGTTAATCCGACATTATTACAATCTGAAGTGCCTAAAGGAATCTACTCGTTTGTATCCCATTTTCTTTCTGAAAATTGATGTACCTACCGCTGATGTGGATGTAAATTTAACACCAGATAAAAGTCAAGTATTATTACAGAATAAGGTAACCTTTTTCAGATGCTTTTTGCATTAATTTATAAAACTATTGCTATTTACAAACTTACACAATCCTAACCGTTTTTGTGTAAAAAAGATTTGCTTATTTATACATTTCTTAAAATATTTTAAATTTGTGTATTTATTATTTTCATAATTTCCCCTAACATTTGTTAATTTGTATTTTTAGGAATCTATTTTAATTGCTCTTGAAAATCTGTTGACGACTTGTTATGGATCACTACCTAGTACAAATTCTTATGAAAATAATGAAACAGATGTTTCTTCAGCTGACACGGTTGTTAGTAAAACAGCAGAAACAGATGTGCTTTTTAATAAGATGGAATCATCTGGAAATAATTATCCAAATGTTGATACTTTAGCCATTCCTTTTCAAAATGACGTGCATAATGATGAATCTGTAAAAAACACTAATTATTGTTCTGATCCTCAGCTACATGTTGATGACCATTATGATGATCATTTTAGTAGTGAAGATTCTAGCATTGTTAAGAACACTAGAAATTTATTTCAGGAGATTTCAATGAATAATTCATCATGTGAGGACGCCCAGAAGGAATATAGTGAAACTTGTTATGTAGATTCTGTTAAGCATGCCCAATCACAAAATGGTAGTAAAGGCCATATAAATGAGAGTGTGAAAAATGAAGAAGCAGCAGTTCCTGAGAAGTCTTTGGAAATTTGTGCAGATGACTGGAGCAAGGGAAATGTACTTAAAAATTCAATGGGAGAAAACATTGAACCTGTGAAAATTTTAGTGCCTCAAGAAAGTTCTGCATGTAAAGTGAGTAATAATAATAATCTTCCAAGCTCTGAACAAAAGAATCTCAGTGAAGGTGCCTATAACAAAAAATCAAATGTGGTAGATAACAAATCTGGACAGCTTACAGCTTATGATTTAATTAGCAATCGAGTAATCAAGAAACCCATGTCAGCAAGCGCCCTTTTTGTTCAAGATCATCGTGCTCAGTTTCTCACAGAAAATTCTAAGACCGGTTTGGAGGATGCAACAGTACAAATTGAAGAACTGTGGAAGACATTGAGTGAAGAGGAAAAACTGAAGTAAGTTTCCAGAGCTTGCATCAGGCCTGAATGCCCAGCTATTTCCATTCTATATGACTCACTGGGTTAAAAAAAATTTTTTTAACTTCTTATTTATGGAAAAACAGAATGGAAAATGCCTCTTGGCTTTAGGGCTAGAGTAGCTTTTTTGGCATCATTTTCTTTCTTAGGAGTTTTCAGTTTTGGAGTTTTGTTTTTTGTTTTGATACAAGCCTTTAACTGCTTTCTCATTTAAGTTTATAATTAAAAGTTTTCCATCCTTATGAAAACTACCGTTTTCTTCTATTTTTTATTTTATGGTAAAGAATCTTTCTATGACAAGACTTTTTCTTTTTTAAGCTTATGCATTAGAACAATTATAACAGTAGGGTTTTTAAGAAATATCTTGACTATTTCCTTTGGTTAATTGGTCTCCAAAATATATAACACAATACAAAAATTGTAACATCATTGCAGATTTAATTTAGTGGTGTTGGTGCTGTCCTATCCAGGATAACTCAAGGCTTCCTTCTAAAAGCTTTTATTGGGGCCGTCCCGGTGGCGCAGCGGTTAAGTGCGCACGTTCCGCTTCTCGGCGGCCCGGGGTTCGCTGGTTCGGATCCCAGGTGCGGACATGGCACTGCTTGGCACACCATGCTGTGGTAGGCGTCCCACATATAAAGTAGAGGAAGATGGGCACAATGTTAGCTCAGGGCCAGGCTTCCTCATCAAAAAGAGGAGGACTGGCAGTAGTTAGCTCAGGGCTAATCTTCCTCAAAAAAATAAATAAATAAATAAAAGCTTTTATTTATTTATTGGCAGCTTTTAAACTAAGGTGAGGGGTTTTTTTGTAGGTAAATAGATGGTTTAATCTATCTTTGATTAAAATAACTATATATTACTTGTCATCTTTAGATCAGATGATACAAATCAATATTTCAAAATAATGTGATGAATGTTTCTAATTGACTTAGGGCACTTACTATGAATACAAAATACTATGTTTTGAGTGATATAACCCACCAGAAAATGAATGAGTGGAATTAGGCTTCCGGTCACATATTATTATCTAAGACGTCTCAATACTATCTCAAACATCTGGAAAAAATTTAAATGTAGCCTATCATCTGGAGTTTATATTTGGTGATAAACTACATAAATATGTGATTGATTTATTTTTCATTTTTTTATTAGCTTGTTCAGTCTTATAAAGACATAATCAATTTAAAATAATAAAGACCCCTATTAACACCAGTAAGTAAAACCTCCATAAATTAACTTTTCTCTTCACCTTTTTTTTTTTTATGGAGATTATTGTGTTTTCTTTTTTCAAACATATGGAAAAGTAGACAAAACAGTACAATGAACCCATCACCCTATTTCACCAACCATCATCTCATGGTCAGTCTCACTTCATCCATACCTCCACTCATTTCACTTTCGCTCTTTCACCATTATTATTCTGAAGCAAATCCTAGGATAACATCATCTCTTTCATAAATATGTTATTATGTATCTGTAAAAGATAAAAGTATTCTTATTTTAAATATAGCTATAATACAATTGTCATAACATTTTTTTTTTTGCTGAGGAAGATTTGCCTTGAGCTAATGTCTGTTGCCAGTCTTGCTCTTTTTACTTGTGGAAGATTGTCCCTGAGCTAACATCTGTGCCAGACTTCCTCTGTCTTGTATGTGGGACACTGCCACAGCATGGCTTAATGAGCAGTGTGTAGATCTGTACGTGGGATCCAAACCCGTGAACCCGGGCCGCTGAAGCGGAGTGCACAAACTTAGCTACTACACCACTGGGCTGGTCCTTGTCATAACTTTTTAAAACGTGAATTCTTTAATGTTGTCAAATATTCACTGTGTAAATTTCTAATTATTTCATGAATGTCAGATTTTTTTTGAAGTTTGTTTATTTGAATCAGGGTGCAAATAAGTTTCACAAATTGTTTGTCTTTAGTTTTATCTAAATGAGACAACTATGCAGTTTCAAGATGAGCACACTTAACTTTTAATACAGCAAGCCCACAAAAGTTGAATTGCAGTGACCAGGGAGGTGATGAATTGAGAGTTGTCTGAGTTCTGTGGAAGTAGTGACAGTGTAACAGCTTAAGATAGCCATTCCCTTGCAGTCTCACAACAGCAGATATTGTTCCAGTTGCCTTTTGGGAAATGTCAGCATTGTTTCTCCTTGTAGGCCCCAAGGTGTCAGGATTGTAGTTAATAGGCCTCATCCAAAACTTTGTTTATTCTCAGGCAGTAAGTATTCTGGAGTCCAAAATTTTCTCTGTCTTATTGCCATAAGGTAGACAAAAGAGGCATTGTTGGTCAACAGCAGACCTCTGAAGCTACACCTGGGTTCTAACCCCAGTTCCTCTCTTTGCTAGCTTTTTGTAAAAATGTGTGGACAGTATCTCCTGGATTGTTGTGAGGATTAAATAAGATATCGTTTGTTATGATTCAGGATAAATGAGCAGCACATAGTAAATGATTGCTTATAATGTTAATCAGAGTTTTCAGTCTGAAAAATTTCTCTGTTGTGATTGACATTATTTTTCATTTCCTTAGGAAAGCTTACTATATGTCAAAAATTGCTATATTAGAATCTTCCAGAACTAGGGGTCTTGGGACCATGATTGACTGTGTCCAAAATCATGATTAGTGAGAAGATATAGCAAAAATTATATCACACTCAAGACTCACACTAACTACCACTTCTCTTCTAGTCTTTATCTTGGAATTCTTTCCATGATCCTAAATTCTACAAGGAGTGCTGAAGGATATGAGAGGAGCCTCTTCTTCTACAGATAATCAGTCTTTCCATCCGTCCTTCCTTTTTTTCCTGTTCTTCCTGTTTCTTTCCCTTCTGTCTTCCCTCCCTTATTTTTTCCCTCCACTTCCATCTTCCCTTCCCTTATTAATTGACGTCATTCTGTGTACAAGGCCCTATGTACTCTAACTAGTTGCTTCAGATACAGTGATAAATAAAACATACTTCCTCTACTCATAAATGGGGTAGTCTAGTGAGGAAGACACAATTTAAACAAGTAGTAATCATAGAATATGATGAATTTTAAAATAAATATAGAAAGTTAGAAAACTCTTAGCAGTTGGGCTTAATCTCATTTATGGGGCAGGAAATACTTCCCTGAATGGAAATCAATCAGAAAAGTGTAGGGAATTCTTTAGATAAGGTAACAGCATGTAAAAAGTCCCAGAAGCTAGAAGGAAAATGATGTTATTGAGGAAATAAAAAATGCCCTCTGACAGGAACAAAATATAGGGGAGTGTGGTAAAGAAAGATGGGGGAAGGTAGGCCATGGAATGTTCTGTAATCTGTAACAAAGAGTTTGAGTAACAGCTAGGATCAGGGTTTCTGCTGACAGCTTGGACAGACTTTGGGGTAGATAGTACTTTCATTTTTTTAGTTCTTCCTTTCTGGATTTTTTTTTTCTTCTCCTTTCCTCTAGTGGATTAGAAACCAGATTTAGGCTATTTGCTTTGCCACTGGGGTCGTAGTGAATTGATGTTAGCTTTAACAGTAGCTATGAACATATTTCTACTTAAAATAACTAAGAGTGATATTGTAATTATTGAAATGGTATGTAAAGTTTATAATTACATGTAATCTTTAGTCACAAAAACATCATTTGAATTGATCACTGGTCAAATCAGAATATTTTCCATTCACGTTACTAAATCCCTTAATGACAGTAAATCAAAGGTAGCAGCTGTTTTTACTTAACATTTACTTACTATTCCTTTGGACATAACTTTTTATATTTACCAAGGAACTAATTAAATTGACTTCTGGAGTAAATCAAAAGATTAGTACCATATGTGAAAATTAACACATTATAATTAATTATTAAACGGTGACCTTCATCTTGAACTTATTTTCCACTGTCAGGGAAAAATCTTGAATTTGAATGTCCAAGAGCTAAAAAATACTTATTTATAGAACCTATTGAAAGTAAACTGTATTGAAAATCATGTGTTTTATATAGTTAATCCAGAAGTCCAGATTCTAAGTAGAAATGGGAGAAAATAATGTAAAAAATTATGAATATGCTATAAGTAACCAAAAGAGGCATTTTTCATCTACTTTACAATGAAACAAGGTCTTTTTTACATTCTCATTCAAGAAACATTTCTTTATTCAACAAGCATGTACTGAGTACAAACTACATGCAATGATCTCTCGTCTCTGAGTCTCACTTTTAATCTTTAATACAGTTCTCCAAACAATATCATTTTTATTTCTTAACACATCTATTCAAATTTCTCCTTAACAATGTTATATGTGTATTACCTACAAGAGAAGTCAACCAGTTTCTTGAGTTTAAGACTAGAAATAATAGTAATTCTCTCGTCTCAAATTTAAAACTGCATTTAAAAGAATTTAACAAGATTGCTTGAATAATTATCAACCCTTAGTCAATCGTGTGCCCCATTCATTTTAAGATATGTTTCACTATTGAAAATAGTGATAGCACACATTTATCACTATTTTACTATGTGCCAAGCACTATTCTAAGTACTTGATGCATTTTAGCTCATTTTCTTCCTCGCATCAAAACTATGAAATAGATATAGACTATCCATATATTACAGATGAGCATATGAGGCACAGAAAAATTAAATAATGTATGAAGGTTTACAGAGCTACTAAGTGGCAGGACCAGGCCAGTCAGTCTCTCCAGGGTCTGTGCTCTTAACCACTACACTTTGCTGAGCACATAATAGTTTTCAATTCTGGGTCTACATTAGAATCACCCATGGAGCTCTTTAAAAACAATACTGCCCAACCTGGACCTAGGCCTGGAGAATTAGAAACTCAGAGGGGAAGACCTAGGCATCTCAATTTTTTAGAAAAGAGTTGATATAAATACTATGCTGGACTGTCTTTGGCCCTAGAAGTTTCATTTTACTGCTGTTATTATTATTATTTTGTTTTTTGTTTTGAGGAAGATTAGCCCTGAGCTAACATCTGCTGCCAATCCTCCTCTTTTTGCTGAGGAAGACTGGCCCTGAGCTAACATCCGTGTCCATCTTCCTCTACTTTATATGTGGGACGCCTACCACAGCATGGCTTGCCAAGCGGTGCCATGTCCGAACCCGCGAACCCTGGGCCGCTGAAGCGGAACGTGTGAACTTAACAGCTGCACCATTCAGCCGGCCCCATTACTCCTATTATTAACCAAAAAGAAAAGACTTCAACTTTTACCCAGTATAATTTTAAAACATCCATTATCTTGTTCCTTTGAAATTGAATTGAATTAGATGGTTTGGATATGTTCAGTTTATTTGAATTTATTTTTTCTTTGATGACTCGAAAGAAATAGCAACTGAAAAAATTAGCATTTAGCTATGAAACCATTATAAGTTTAATTATATAATTTTTATTTTGCATGTTATAGTGATTTTAATTGTACTTGTATCTAATTAGTAAGTGGAGTACTAATGTATGTAAATTTTCTTTTGTAGTACTCAGGGAATTGTTTATTCCATGTTGATGTTCCAGCAAATGTATAAGGATCTCTTCAGATCTGGAATTGACTCTTTATTTTATTGAATTATTTCTTTATAATTTTTTTTTTAGTGCCTGTGCCTTCAACACTTTCTTAAAATAGGTTTTTAAAATGGTTTTTGAAATTAGTTTTTAAAATGGTTTTTAGAATAGGGTAAAATTTAGCTACTGTGAAATGCAGAGGTCTTAACCATATATATAGTTCAGTGCATTTTCATATGTTTACACCCATATAACTACCATCTCCCCCAAAATGTAGAACATTTCCATCACCCTGGCAAGCTCGCTTATGCCATCTACCAGCCAATCTCCATACACAGCCACTATTTTGATTTCCATCACACTAGCTTGATTTTGCCAATTCTTGGACTTCATATCTATAAAATCATATGATACTTATGCCTTTTATGTCTAGTTTCTTCAACAAAATATTTTTGTGATTTTCTTCCATGTTTGTTGAGTGTATCTGTATAGTTCATTCTTTTTAATCAATGAGTAATACTCAATTGTATAAATATACCTCAGTTTGTTCATTCAGTCTCCAGTTGATGGACATTTGGGTTGTTTCCAGTTTGGGACTATTGTGAATAAACCTGTGTTATTTAGTTTTCAAATATTTGGGGTTTTTACAGATACTTTATTGTTGTCAATTTCTAATTAATTTTGTCATGGACAGGCAAAATACCGTGTTAGATTCCAGTCTTCTGAAATTTATTGAGAATTGAGTCTGGCATATGGTCTGTCTTGATGAATGTTCCATGTACATCTAAAAAGAATCTGAATTCTGCAGTTGTTAGATGTAGTAGTGTTCTAAAATGTCAGTTGAGTCAAAGTAGTTGATAGTATCGCTAAAATCTTCTAAAGCTTTACTGATTTTTATTTTTTGGTCTAGTTCTGTCAGTTACTGAGGGAGGGTTATTAAAGTCTGCAACTATGATTCTGGATTTATTTCTACATTTAGATCTGTAAGTTTTGCTTCATATAATTTGAAGCTCTCTCATTAGGTGCATACATGTTTGTAATTGTTACACCCTCCTAATGGCCCCTTTTGTCATTATGAAATTTCCTTCTTTATGTGTGGTATTGTTTCTTATTTTGAAATTTACTTTATTATTATTGCTACTCTGACTTTCTTAAGCTTACCATTTGGATGATGTATTTTTCCATTCTTTTACTTTCAAACTATCTGTGTGTTTATATTTCAAGTGTAACTCTTAGAGACACATATAGCTAGATTTTGCCTTTTAAATTCAATCTGACAATTTCTGTCTTTTGGTTAGAATATTTAATCCATGTAATGTAATAACTGATATGGTTAGGTTTAGGTCTACCATTTTCTTTCTGTTTTTCCCATCTCCGTTTTGTTCCTCTCTTTCTCCTTTTTTGGGGGTGGGGGCAAGAGGCAGCCTTCTTTAGGGTTAAAAGAATATAATTTAATTTTTAATTTTAATTCCTTTATTGGCTTTGCATTATTTTTGCTTTGGGGATTACATTATCATCCTTAATTTTCATAATCTACTTAGAGTTAATAGGGTGCAGTTGACATAAAATATAAAAGCTTTGCAAGTATAATTCCACTTACAATCCCATCCTTTGTGCAGTTGGTGTGTCATATATTTTATGTCTACATACAGTATATATCTGACTTTAAAAAGCTATTATTTTTCTATTTAAACAATTATCTTTCAAAGAAATAACAATTTTTTAAAAGATCATATTTTCCTATTAACCTACACCATTACCATTTTTGGTGCTCATCATTTCTTCCTACAGATCTGAGATTCCATCTAGTGTCATTCCTTAATAATGCAATTATGCTAGCAACAGATTCTCAGCTTTCTTTTATCTGAAAATGTCTATTTCATCTTCATTTTTGAAGGACATTTTTGCTGGATATAATTGAATTCTGGATTCTTTTGACAATTAAAAGATGTTATTCTCTGTCATCTGGTTCTACATTGCTTCATTGCTTCTGATGAGAAGTTATATTCATTTGTGGTGGTGTTCTTTTGTAATGTCCTTTTTTTCTCTCACTGCTTTCAGAATTTTATCTTTATCTTTGGTTTTCAGCAGTTTGATTCTAATATACTTAGCTGTGGATTTCTTTGCGTTTATCGTGCTTGGGGTTCCCTGACCTTTGTGGATCTGTAAAATGTTGCATTTCTCCAAATTGGCTAAGTGTCAGCCATAATATCTTCAAATGTTTTTTTCCCTTCACTTCTATATTTTTTATCTGGGGCTTCAATTTCATACGTGTTTGGTTGTTTGCTGTGCCATAGCTCACTGAGGTGTTCTTTCAATCTTCAGTCATTTTTCTCTCTGTTGTTCAGATTGGATAATTTCCATTGACCTGTCTTCAAGTTTACTGACCCTTTCTTTTGCCATCTCTGATCTGCTGTTAAGCCTATACTGTGAATTTTTCATGTCACATATTATATTCTTTAGTTCTAGATTTCCATTTGCTTCTTTTTTATAATTTCCCTTCTCTATTGAGATTGCTCCTTCTCTCATTATGATCTTTTCCTTTAAGTCCTTAAATATTTATAAAAACCTATTTTTAAATGTTTTTTTGCACATTCCAACATCTGAGTCATCTTGAGGTTGGCTTCTGCTGACCACTTTTTCTCTTGACCATGACTCAGATTTTCCTGTTTTGAGTGATAACTTTTGATTATATAATGGACATTGTGGGTAGAAACTCTTGGATTCTATTATCTTCTCCTGAAAAGTATTGGTTTTTGTTCTACTAGGCATTTAAATAATTGACAGATCACCTTAAACTTATGGAGCCTTTGTTTTACACTTCTTTAGGGAAAGACTGTTTAAAGTTTGCCCTTAGTCCTAGGGCAGCTTCCTTAGTTCTAGACCATAACTTTTTTCTCACCCTTAAGATGTAGTCCTCCTCCAGTTTTAACTGAAAGTCCAAAGTGTTTACCAAGCCGTCTAATTATGTGGAGTTCAAACTCCAAACTTTATTTCCCCTGCAATGGGCAGCCACTGAAATCTCTGTTTAGCTCATTTAGCCTCTAGTGGTTGTTTTCCTCTAGGCTCCCACACATGGGATTTTCTGGGACTTTCTCCCTCAATTTCCAGTTGTTTTGGAAGCAAGGAGCTCTGTGTTCTGGTGACTAAGGCTAATTTAGAGTGCAGCTTTCTGAGTGAGTTCTTTTCACTACCCCTTAATGCTGGGGACTGCCCTCTGGGTAAAAGATGTATAAATGTGGATCTTTTCTCTTCAAGGATTGAATCCATGCCAATTTCTGCCTGCTGTCGGTTGTTCTTCAGTGCCTATTTCAAATGGTTGATTTCTAAGTTTGTTCAGATTTTATCATAGTTAATATATGGGAAGGTTAGTCCAATACAATCTCCTTTGTCGTTACTGGACCTGGAGTACCAGCTCTTTATTTTTTATAAAATTTACTTCAGATGGTTAATATATTTCTGATTATCACTTCATTAGTTCTGTTTTATCTCTTCATAGATATGAAGAGAAGGCTTCTAAAGACTTGGAGCGATATAATAAGCAAATCAAGAGAGCCATTGAACAGGAGTCACAAACACCAATAAAAGATGGCAGAAAAAAGATAAAACCCACCAGTGCATGGAATTTGGCACAGAAGCACAAATTAAAAACTTCGTTAATTCAGCCAAAACTTGATGAGCTCTTTCAGTCCCAAATTGAAAAAAAAAAGGACCAAAACATTAAAGTAGTTCAGATCCCCTTTTCTATGGAAAACTTACAGAAAAATTTTGAGAAACATAAATTTGACTTAGAAGAAAAGGACGAACTTTGCTTGATCCACAATCTCAAGTTTCCTGATGGGTGGCTAATTACATCCAAAACAGAGGTGATGTTACTAAATCCATATAGAGTGGAAGAAGCCCTGCTGTTTAAAAGACTTCTTGAGAATCATAAACTTCCTTCAGAGCCCCTGGAAAAGCCAATTATATTAACAGAGAGGTATGGTGAAGTAATATGATTTTTTTATTCTAAAAACATTTATTAATCCATACTAGATTAGAAATTGAAGGTAAAAAGTTGAAAGTATTTCCTAGTAGGGAAAAGTGGTATTTATTTAAAGAAGTCTTTTTAAAACTTGATTTTTAATCTTCAGTGGGATTAACTGCTTTTAGATAAATAATTTTAGAATGTTCTGCATAGCTTCAGCAATTAATAAATATCAAGCTCAATTCTCCTGTACAGTGGTGACTTCCCTATGGTAATTTTGAAGTTAGGTCACCATGACTGTTTCATTGCACACTCTTTAACATTTCAAACATACACCAAAATAGAATTACCCAATGAATGTCCTTATCAACAGTCATCAAGATTTTGCCACTTTTGCTCTATCTGTCCTTTTATGTATACACACACACACACACATTTTCTTTCCTTTGCTAAAGTAGCTTAGAAATTCCCGCCCCTGCATCTTTCAGTATATCCGTCTGAAAGATAGCTATTTTCTTACCTAACCACAATGCCTTTTTCATACATCATACAATAATAATTCCTTGGAATTGTTCCTCATTGTTTCAAAATGTCTTTTTTATAGTTTTAAAATTTTTAAATTTAATTTGTATCTAAACAAGATCCAGCCATTACAGTTAAATCTCTTCTAATGTCACACCATTAACTTATTGTTGATACTGAGTCACTCGTTCACTGGAATGTCCTGTTGTCTTGCTTTGTCTCTGCTTCCTGTGGTGGTGTTTAACTTGTTTTTCCCTCTCCCATATTTAAATGGAAGTTAGCTTAGGAGGATTGAATAAATTTAGATTCTGCCCACCAGTAAGACTCCTTAATAGGTAGTGCTACGTGAACTTAACCACAAGGCCATAGGACTGGCCCAGTCTCTTTCTTTTTTCATTCCTTTTTTTATTTATTTTGAGGAAGATTAGCCCTGAGCTAACATCTGCTGCCAATCTTCTCTTTTTCCTGAGGAAGAGTGGCCCTGAGCTAACACCTGTGCCCATCTTCCTCTACTTTGTATGTGGGGTGCCTGCTGCAGCATGGCTTGACAAGCAGTATGTAGGCCTGCACCCAGGATCTGAACCAGTGAACCCTGGGCTGCCAAAGCAGAACATGTAAACTTAACCACTGTGCCACTGGGCCAGCCCCTGTCTGTCTTTATTTAAAAAAGAGCTAGAGCATATCTGAAATTTTAAATTTGATTGCTTTTTAAATGATATTTGTAAGCTTTCATTTAGATCTCAAAAATCTTTTTGTGCTTGTACAAATTATGAGTTAAAAAATTTTTTGTGTGATGTTCTGTTATTCAAAAACAAATACAGTAAAAACTATTATTTGGGGCCCATACTAGCCTAAAACTAAATCTTTCTTATTTGAACATGGATAGCAGCAAAGCCTATTTCAAAACTTTCACTTTCTTCTGAAATGTGACATCACTGTCACAATTAGTAGTGCAAGTTTTTCAAAACTAAGTCTTGGACAGGATAATTATGGGTTTCACCTGTCTTCTCACCAGAGTTCTAATGCAGGATATGTAGCTTATCTCTGAATGAAGTAATTTAGATATCTACGAAATACAAAGTAAGATCTCAGTAAAATAACAACAATGGCTAATGTTGATTGAGCACTTACTGTATGATAGGAACTTTAGTAAGCCCTTTGCTTTCATGGTCTTATCTTTACAACAACCTTATGAAAGGTAGGTACTATCATTATCCACATTTTATAGATGAGGAAACTGAAATACAGACTGTTAAGTAACTTACCAAGGCTAATACAGCCCATATGTAAGCAGCAGATCCAAGATTCCAATCTAGGCAGTAACAGTAGAGCCTGCATCATTCATTGTTTTACTACATCATCATCATCGTCACCACCACTGGGTCTCAGATTGATTTTCTGAACATTAGTTAGACCAGACAGAGCACATCTAATATATAGCCAAAGCTTTCCTCTCTGCCCTCACAGTAAGTGGGTCCTCAGCCTTTCCAAGGTGATAAGCAGACATCATCTATTCATTTACTTTTTCAAGGAGTACAGGATTGTAATGAAGGAACTGCAGCTTGTCATCCTGTGCTGGAACATAGAACAGTAACTTGCATACCTAAGACAGTACTACCTACCAGATGGTAGACACTCAAATATTCATTGAATATGTGAATGGGAAAATGGTAACCACTCACATGTCAACCTCAAAAGACACCCTGCTGTAGTAACATGTTACGAAGCATCCTGACCAATCCTAAAACCAACATGAAAGGTTAATTTGTGCCCTAGATAATCTTTGCCTACCTCAAAATTTTGTTTAGGGTCTGCACCACTCAGAACCATCTCATATGCCATCTTTGGCAAACATTCTATGCCTGCAGTCAACTGAAGAAAGCTCTCCCAAGCTCTGAAGTACTAAATTGAGGAGTTCCTGGGAGAAAAGATACATGCTTATCTTTTTATTATTGAAGAAACCTTGACTAGCAATTGACAATCACATAGGATAGACCACTTGAGTAACTTGTGTATTATTGTATCTGCTTAAAGGTATAAAATGGCACTATTTATAAATAAAGTTTTCATTTGTATTATATAGAGAGAGCACATTTTTTAATTTCACATTTGGTTTGTAACATTCCAGAAGATAGAAACTGTCTGTTATGTCTATTCTTCCTCCTTTCTGTACACTGTATGTGGTAGGTCTTCTATAAAATATTAACAGAAACGTAAAAAAGTAAAATTGCTCACAGGGCTACTTACACCTTTGTATTTTTGTCACTGATGATAACACTTTTTAAAGGTCCTTTGGATTAAGTTTTTTCCATAAATCCTCTTATTTTACCTACTTAATAAGTTAAAAGGGCCATAATTTCTTTTTCAGTCTTTTTAATGGATCTCATTATTTAGAGATTTTATATAAAATGACAGCAAATGATCAAGGATACAGTGGATCAACTTACCTGTGCGATCCTCGTCTTACAGCAAATGGTTTCAAGATAAAATTGATACCAGGTATGATAATGTGGTTTAATATTTCTTGACTTGGAAAAATAAGTCTTGTTCCAGAGTTACATTTGGGTTTCATAATATACAGATATTATGGTATATTTTTGTCTCATCAAAAGTACAATGTCAGTTGTGTAGAAGCAGTCATATTTCAGAAAGGTCACCTGTGCCTGATAAAGCAAGTTTGGCATCTCATGCCTTGAATTTTCATATTCATAACTTAGTCAAGTAGTTTTGTTATAATTTTTGCCATTCTTTGTGACAATATTCAAACTGCCTGCTTTGTTTAACTAAATTATTAAATACTCCTTTAGATGATGAAACAAAAGGATACTGGAATGGCCTAACAACAAAATGGACATCTCCTTTTCTTTTTTAAAAGCATTTACTTGTTTTGCCAATTAGATGTGTAACATCAGCAGTCTTACTGTTTCTAGGGTGGATGATTTGATTTCCATGGCTTTGCTAAAAAGACTGTGATAACACTATTTGCTTAGTATGAAAATTCACTGGGTGGGGAGAAAGAAGTTCCATCTGGCTAGACTTTAGTATTCTTAGCTGGCCCCTTCTCTGTTCTTTCATAATTTCCATACTCAACTACCTTCTGCCCTAGCTTCCTAGGCTGGTCTTCTCCTATTACTTTCCCTTCATCTGGTATCAAGGGGCACAAAGACACCATGAAGAGTGATTCCACTGTCCCCTCTCCTGCCTGTCCCTAAATTTTTTCATGACCAAAATGTAGAAAAACAGTGTTGAAGATTTTCTTTGTTTGTTTATAGTATAATGAAGAGTTCTCTTTTTTGGGGGGGAGAAGATTATCCCTGAGCTAACTACTGCCAATCTTCCTCTTTTTTTTTTTGCTGAGGAAGACTGGCCCTAAGCTAACATCCATGCCCATCTTCCTCTATTTTATACATGGGACGCCTAGCACAGCATGGCTTTTGCCAAGCGGTGCCATGTCCACACCTGGGGATCCGAACCAGCAAACCCCAGGCCGCCGAGAAGTGGAACATGCGAACTTAACCACTGTGCCACTGGGCTGCCCCCTCTTTTTTTTTTAAGTATGCTTTTTGGTGAGGAAGATTGGCCCTGAGCTAACATCTGTTACCAGCCAAACTTTGTTTTCTCCCAAAGCTCCAGTACATAGTTGTATATTCTAGTTGTGGGTCATTCTAATTCTTCTGTGTGGGATGCTGCCACAGCACGTCTTGGTGAGCGTTGCATAGGTCCACACCCAGGATCTGAACTGGTGAACCTGGGGCTGCCGAAGTGGAGCATGCGAACTTAACCACTCAGCCACGGGGCTGGCCCCAAAGATTTTTAAAGGAATGTTTTACTGACACATGAAAAGAAAATAAGTAAAAGCAGTATCCTAAACCATGAAATGTGCAGAAAATGCTGTGGTGTTCCAGACTTTAACTAACTTTACTTGACTTTTGCAGTTTAAGGATATGTACCCTAAACTTCTCACCTTCTACCTCAATCATGGATATTTAGATTTGGAGTGAAGAGAGTCCAAATCCTAACTTTGCCATTTAAAACCAGTGTGTTCTTGGGAAAGTCAGTTGGCCTCAGTGTTTCCTTATCAGTAATAACTTTAGTAATTATTGAATAGTTATTATGTGTGGAGCACTCTTCTAAGTATTAAATGTATTAATTCATTTACTCTTCCTAATAGCCCTATGAAGTAGGTTCTATTACTGTCCCCATTTTATACATGGAAAAATTGAGGCAAAGAGAAGTTAAGTTTGCTTAAGGGTACACAGTTAATGGTAGAACCAGGATTTGAACCCAAGCAATCTGCCTTTAGATTATTATATTGCTTCCCTATTAGAGTTCAACTTCATGAAGCAGTTGTGAGCACTACATAAGATACTTATATAAATCAGTTAGCGTAGCATATAGTACTTAGCAATCATAGGTGTTCAAATATTCTCTTTTCTTGCCGTCCTCCAGCCCCCCTCTCTGACATGAACTGACTTGTAGTCATTTCTTTTAGTCCTCCTAGAAATCTTTCTTCCTTAGGGCCCCTGGCATCTTTTTAATTTGTTTGAAGTGTGAAGCAAGGGGTGTGTGTATGTGTAGCAAAATATTTTTTCTTGATTTAATCTGTATTTCTAATTATGTGGCACTAGTGGCAGGTGCCATTTTTTCATGAAAGATGTTATCACAGCAGTTTGTTTTAAAGGTTAGGATAACTACTCTGTTCCAAGAGCATGTTTATTTTTCAGCCACCCAGTAAGATTCTGTCTGACAGATGCTTTCAGCTCTTAGCTTATAGTGTTTTTTAAGTCCTGTTGAATACTAGGTACTTTGCATGGCACCAAAGATGTAAAAATGAATAAGACAATCATCTACAAACTGACTTGATTTGATTGCAATTTACTTAGATTATCATCAGCATTATTTCTCTTGTCAATAACATCAAGTTAAAAACATTCATGTTTTGGGGCCAGCCCTGTGGCGCAGTGCTTAAATTCGCATGCTCCACTTCTGCAGCCTGGGGTTCGCCAGTTCGGATCCCAGGTGTGGACATGGCACCGCTTGGCAAGCCTTGCTGTGGTAGGCGTCCCACATATAAAGTAGAGGAAGATGGGCACGGATGTTAGCTCAGGACCAGTCTGCCTCAGGAAAAGAGGAGGATTGGTGGCAGATGTTAGCTCAGGGCTAATCTTCCTCAAAAAAAAAAAAATTTTTTTTAATTCATGTTTTCTCCACATTTTTTTTTTTTGCCTTTTTTTCCTTCATTAATTTTTAGTTCATTTTTTTTTTTTAATCCCCCCGGCACATAGTTGTATATCTTAGTTGTGGGTCCTTCTAGTTGTGGCATGTGGGATGCCTCCTCACCGTGGCCTGATGAGCAGTGCCATGTCTGCGCCCAGGATCCGAACCAGCAAAACTCTGGGCTGCCGGAGCGGAGCGCTCGAACTTAACCACTCAGCCATGGGGCGGGCCCCATAGGTCATGTTTTCTTAAAGACCATTTCTCTTTCTTTTACTGAGAGTTTTGTTGTATTGGACTAACTTTGGATCAACAGTTTGCTAGTTGTCACAGAACATCTTTGGATAAAGATAAGGCATTTGAAAGAGAGGAAGAATACATCCCTCTGGCTCGAGGGAAAAGATTCTGAATGTGACCCTAAGAACTTGGCTTGTTAATGGGAATAGCTTTTTGTTCTGCATCAATAAGAATTCCATATTTTAGGAAGTGAAAACTTGTCAAATTATTCGTCACTTACTCATTTGAACTATTTTCCCTCAAAACTGGAAAGCATTTCACAGAATTTTATGGAAAGTTCTTGAAAGTTTATTATTATATGGTTTCAGATATTTCTGAGTTTTCCATATCTGAATTTTGCAAATACAGAGATTAAAATACTGCCCAATTTCCCCATCTGCTGTCAAATACCTTTTGCCCATACCCACAAGTAATTCTCTGAAATATGTATAATTTTCCAGGGCAAATGTAGTTAGCGTTAGACTTTTCAATCTAATCATACTGTAAAAGGTATAGAACCAGCAATAGTGAATTTTATGTTTTTGTTTCCTAGGAAGAACATTAGGATGCCTGCTCTGTTTAGTGTACCATCATTGCATCTGCCAGCCAGGTCAAGGAACTAGTGTGTAATTGGAAACAGGTTAGGGATAGGATCATTGACATCTCAAGGTCTGAAATTCAAGCTACCTCGCTCCTCTCTTTAAATTCATCCATTGATAGCTATCACTTATCCAACATTGGTCTGTCTCATTCTCTTTACTCCTAGGTAACATTGTGTGGACTTCAATATTAAGAACACTGTTACACAGATTTAATCAAAGAAGACAAATCTCTGCTGTTTTCCAAAATCATAAAATACATTCTAAAGCCAAATTTGATGCTTGAGAATGTATGCTGTTATCGGTATCTTACCCCATTATATATCCAGACATGTAGCTAGTTTTTAGTTTTATTTTTAATCATTGTTAGTTACGGTAGTTTAAATAATACATAATATATCAATTTTAAACATTATTCTAGTAAAATATTTTGAATAAACATTATATTTCATTTCCTCAAATTAGTAATACATTAAGTTACTATCGTGGTAGTCATTTTGCAGTGTATGTGCATCAGATCAACACTTTGTACACCTTAAACTTACACAGTATTATATATCAATTATATCTCAATAAAGCTGGAAAAAAATAAGTAGTTACTATGTGAGGATTTTTATAATTTGTTAAATTAAAATAATCATAGAAATAATTCAGGGTTTTAGGTTAGATGTTAAACCAGTAGGATCGAATTTGTACAGCAGCAATTGTTAAAACACTTAAACTAGTTTTATTTTAATAAATATCATGGGATTCCATTTTCTTTCCAAAGTAAGAACTGTTCTAAACAAATGTAGAGAACAGAACAGCAATAACTGAGATTAAATTAAATGATATAAAGCGCATGTGGTGTCTGTGAGCACTTATGACTTAATGTGAATGTGAAGTCCTATGGGAAATTACTATTCTCTAACTAAGGAACGAAAGTTTGTCCTGACTATATTAAATTCTAATGAAAGTTCACTAAATGTTTTAACAGTGATTTTGTTTTTAATAGACATTTTCTGGAATATAATTCAAACAAAACTAACTGTATCTATATGTGGTTTTATTATTTTTTTCTTTTAGGAGTTTCTATTGCAGAAAACTACTTGGAAATAGAAGGAATGGCTAATTGTCTCCCATTCTATGGAGTGATGGATTTAAAAGAAATTCTTAATGCTATATTAAACAAAAATGCCAAGGAAGTTTATGAATGTAGACCTCGCAAAGTGATAAGTTATTTAGAGGTATGCATTATTAGATTATGTAGGTTGGCTAGGTTTTGAGCTACTTAACTGTTCTTTAATAAAATAGTTAACCACTTCAAAATAATAAAATTTCTATAAGGTTTATTATGTTTGCAAGAGGAAATACTATTAAAAAAGAAAAACCCGTTAAAAGTTTTACATCATAGACTGGTTGTGATAAACACTATCACAGATCCTTACTATAACATTATTTCTTGAGTATATTGAGGACGAGCCTTATACATGAGATACTTTGTAGTGAAGTTCTTTTGTTTTTTTTTTTAAGAAGGATTCAAAATTGCTCTACCTTTTTATCAAATCCTTGTCTAAAAAAACTGTAATGTGATTGTAAGCCTTGATTCTTCAAGAGCAAAAGAGGGGGAGGAAAGTAAAAGATGTAGATTATTGAATAAATAGAAATTTTAGCTTTCTAGCAGTATCTGCCACAAATGAGAAATGTAACAGTGGGTTAAAAAAATAAATTCAAAACTAATAGAGGATGGAGGAAGATTGCAAACTTTTAAATGTCCAAGTATAGGATAATGGTGGGAAAACAACAGTAATTGTCTCTATATTTGAGGTTCTGTCCTTCAAGGTTGACTGGTATTATTTTGAAAACAAACTTGAACTTTAATGAAGTTTATTTCCTCCCTTTGAAAAAAATGAGCCATTTTTCTTTAGACTATAATTGTGGCACGCCCACTACATTCTGAGGATCAGACTTCCTCAACAGGGAAAGTCTACTTTTTACCCTTTCTGAAGATAGTATTCAGCACCATTCTGTGAGTCCTTGAAGAGCTTTGTCTTGTGGAACTTCCCAGCCTATTGTGGGGGGGGCAATTCAACACTGATAGTTTTTAGGGACTTCAAAGGAATCTTTTCTTGTGAAAGAGCTAGTATAAACTTAAAGGTTGAGTGAGTGGTGGGTAGTGTTTTGTGTATTGAAGAACCATGTAGGAAGAAATCAGATTTCAGAAATAACAGAGAAAAAAGTGGTTGGGATTAGATAGAAATATTTTTACTGATAATATGCCTCTCATTACATTAAGGCAGTAGTGGATATGATTAAGGAAGATAGTCTAGGAAAAAAGAACTTCTATCAGAACCACAGGAATGCTTCCATTTAATGTCGAAGTGAATAAGATGAACCAGAGATAAAGATAGAGTAAAAGAAGAACCAAGAGAGAGGTGGATGTAAAAGTCAGAGGAGGAAAGAAATTTAAAAATAAGTAGTATCATGTCCTCTATAGGGTAATAGTTGCTAGAAGACCATCAGATGTGGCTGCTAGATGGCAGTAATAACCTTGAAAAGAGCTGTAATGGAAAAGTAGAAAAGATGAAGACATTTGCCAGTGGTCAGAGAGCGGAAAAGTGTAGGCAGCAAGTCACCTGGTGGTGAAAGGGGGAAAAGAGATTAGCATGTTTGTATTGAATTTGGTGGAAAAGATTGACAATAAATGATTGGAGAACAGATGTTCCAAAAGAGGCAAGAAGGAAAATGGGATAATGATACAAGCTTTAGAAAAGGGAAACCATTCTTTCAATCAAGAGTAGAAGAGAATAGGGAAAGTAAAAGTAAAAATATTTTGAGGTAAACTTGAGAGAAGTCATGTATGATACATGTGGTAAGGGAGTAGGAGAGGTTATCTGCTAAAGGGAAGAGGCTGAGGAGGCAGTGGCGAATTGAGTATAGTGGAAAAGTTCTGAAAATAAGAGCTGTAGGTCCTGTAAGAGAAGGTTGACTATAGAAGAATAAGATGTTCAAATGGCCTTAAGGACTCATAAGACCTAACACTGGTATTGGATCCAGCCAGAACATTTTTGTAATTCTCCAAAACTGAGCTTGGTAGAATTTATCCAAGGGTAAGATTAGCAAGACAGATATGGAGGAAGAACAAGAAGGTGCGTGAGAATATTTGAACACATAATACACGCAAGAAACTGTATTAGCTCCCAGAGGGATATAAAGGTGAATTGGATTCTAGTACCAATCTGCCCTTAGATTCTAGTGGGAATCTAAGAGGAATGCAGGAAGCTAGAAATAGTATCCTTAATGTCTCACTCACTATTCCTACCTTAGGTAGGGGAAGATGACAGAAGGGTACTGGTGGGCCAGGAGAATAAGGAGAGAGAGGAGATTAAAGGTCAAAGTGAAGAATAAGAATAGATTTAGTTAGAATAAAGAAGTAGGATGGTTGGAAAGAGAATGGGAGGGGGGTGTGGTTACAGAGAATAATGTTAGGATTCAAGATCTTTAAAGTACAGTTCTTTTAAAATATCCTAAAAGAAGCCAGCTTTGCTAATACTATTTTACTCCCAAACTCTGTCTTCCCCATCTCAGAAAACAGCATTACCATACCAAAAATGTGGATGTTATCCTTGATTCTGTGTCCCTCGTAACCAGTCTATCAGCAAGTTTTGACTCATGTCAGGAGTCTTATATCTCCCCCCATCTCCACTACTATTGGCCAAGTCAAAAACTCTCAACTAGGACTGCAGTGATGGCCTGCAAGACTCCCTGCTTCTCTTCTTGACCTGCCTCAAACCATACTTCACTCGGCAGCCAGATTGATTCTTTTACAATGTGAAACAGATGTCAGGGTCTCCCTTAAAAACCCTCTGGTTACTTCCTGTGCATTCAGATTAAACTTCAAATTGCTCCCTCTGTCCTAAAGGGTGATATGACCCCTGCCTAATTCTCTTTGTTGTTCCTCTCCCCTTTAGTGACTGTGCTGCACCCACACTGACCATTTGATTCCTTACATTCCCTCTGCCTGAAATGCTTTTGTTTCCCCATGATCTTTGCATCATGGTGCCTTATTTAAATGGAAACTTAAATGTCACCTCAAGGGAGCTTTTCCTAACCACACAATCACTCTCTAGCATGTTGTCCAGTTTAATTTTGTGCATTATTAGTCACTGAAATTTTCTTTGTCTTTTTATCTGTTTTCTGTTTCTCTGTACTAGAATGTAAATTTCACAAGAACAAGGATCTTGTTTATCTTGTTCTCCCCTGTATTCCTGGAACCTACAGTAGTGACTAGCACCATAATTGGTGCTTAATATTTGTTGAGTGAGTGACTAATAAAAAGAATGTAATCAATTTTCTGTCTTACTTCTTGCCAAGAATAACATGTTTTCTGCTTCAAGATATATCATGGTAAAATGTACGGCTTTCTCTTCACAGGGAGAAGCGGTGCGTCTATCTAGACAGTTACCCATGTACTTATCAAAAGAGGATGTCCAAGACATTATCTACAGAATGAAGCACCAATTTGGAAATGAAATTAAAGGGTGTGTTCATGGTCGCCCATTTTTTCATCATTTAACCCATCTTCCAGAAGCTACATGATTAAATATGTTTAAGAAAATTTGTTATTATTGAAATTGATTTGGTCATAAAATAATGAGTCAGTTTTTAAGCCATCTTTGTACTATCATGTGTTCAATGGTTATTTTATAAGTGAGGATTCACTGGCTTGTTTGTATATTGAAAACAATTTCAAAAGCTGTAGAAAACTTAAATAAACTAATATAGACTAATAATTCATTTCATTCTCAACAACTAGCCATTGTAATAATTATTGGTTGTAAATTCCAAATTGGAAAATACCTAGTATTCTTGGGTGGTTGATTTAATAGGTGCTATGGACTGAATTGTGTCCCCAAAATGCATATGTTGAAGTCCTAACCCCTAATATGATGGTATTTGGAAATAGGGCTTTTGGAGAGGTAATTAGGTTTAGATAAAGTCATGAGGGTGGGGCCCTCATGGTGGGATTAGTGCTCTTACAAGAAGAGACACCAGAGAGTTTGCTTTATTCTCTCCTTTTCTCCTGCTACCCACCATATGAGGATACAAGAAGGCGACCCTCTATAATCCAGGAACAGAGCTCTCACCAGAAACCAGCTGTGCCGACACTTTGATCTTTGACTTCTAGCTTCCAGTATGAGAGAGTTAATGTCTGTTGTGCATTTAAGCCACCAGTCTATAGTATTTTGTTAATAGCAGCCGGAGCTGACTGATACACTGGGTCAGTCCTGTGCAGGAAGAAATCACACAGACCCAGCTGGCGTATGTGACGTAAGTTGTCGTTCTTGTTTAAAGTAGGATGGAGAAACACAGAGTGGGAGAAAGAGAAAATGAAGTTCAGAGGAAGAAGAAAGAGCATAGCTTTGAAAATCCTGCCATTTATGTCTATTTTGGGGGTATGGTTTAGAAGTTGCTGTTGTTGTTGTTGAAATTATTGGGCTTTTAGCTCAAAATTTGTCAGAGAACATGGCAAGATCCAGATTTTTAACAGGAAATTTAGGTTAAGATTATTTGTTGTGCATGTGTCCTTTCAAAAACCAGGTCCCACAGTGCACCAAAATACTTAATTTACAATTAGTTGAAACATGATTTTAATGAGTATCTTTGTTGTATAAAGTAAAATGTGTTATAATGGATACAAAGTCTCCACACTGACACCATTTCCCTTAATTCTCAAGGAGAATTTCTTAATTCTTAAGACCCGTGCGTTAAGAGGTACAAACTGTGATACCTGAAATTCTGCCTGTAGCCAGGCTTTTTCTCCTGCCAACATTGTCCGTTTCCCATAACCCAAATACTATTTGTTTCCATTATCCCCTTTAAAAATTTGGAGCCCCTCTCTAGGATGCCTTTCTAGGAGTAATGCCTTTTAATTTACTGGGTAAACTGAGGAAAGAGAAGCTCACAGAGTTATCCAGATTGATGAAATTTGCATCATGTTTGTACCAGCCCTAAGCAAAATTTTAGACTCATTTTCTAGCTGAGTCTATTGTTGTAGTAGGTCGTACAACGCCTTCTTAAACTTATTTAGCTTTTTCTTTCCAGTCCTGGATTCTGCCAAATTGTAGTAATGATGGCGGGATTTACCACTTATTTGCTAGATACACTACGCACCTACCTTGTACGATCTCATTTAATCTTCACAACAAATTTAGGATCGTAAGTACTATTGCGACTCTAATCCCAGAGCTCGTGTTCTTTACCACTGTTGTACTGCCTGCCTTGAGAAATAGGCCCTAAAGGTCATTAGAGTCAACGTAATTATTGGGGGGAAAAAGAAAAGCATAAAACACTCCCTCACTCCACTCTAAGGAATGCCAGATCAACTTCCGGCTGCCACATTTTTCTAGTGGAGTCTGGTGGGCGGGTCAGGGATGGTTCCGTTGAGGCCCCGCCTCCTGGCTCCTGAGGAAGCCGCGAGGCCCTGCCCCTGACCCAGGCCGCTCTCTCACTCCCCACAAGCCTTTGCGGCAGTGGCGGCACCACAGAACAAAATGGCTGCAGCGGCCGGCAGCTACGGCGAGACCCTGGCTCATGGAATGGAGGTAACGGCCGCTGGAGTTTCGGATGCTGGTGCTGGGGGTTAAGGGCGAGACAAGGAGATCTGGAGGGAGAGGAAAGCCTCTCCCTCAACTTACCCGTTTTTCTCACTCCACTGGAGCCTGGCTGAGGGGAGAGAGAGAGGATTGAAGGTGTGAATCTCCGGAAGTACTCCTGAGGCCCTAGAGCCCTGCTCGGGATCCCAGCCTCGGCCGTAGCACAGGGGTGACACCCAAGCCATATGGAGGTGAAGCCTATAGACCCCTCTTGGATGCACCTTTTGCCTTGAGGCCAGCTGTGCGTGATCCAGCGATGCTTACAAGGTTTCAGATATTTAACGTACTGAAAAATGTTAGGCTTGAAGTCAGATGGAAAGATTTTTGTTGTTTTCGTTGGCTATTTGATCATCTGTGATCTTATCCTGATTTTGTAGCTCAAGAATTGCAGTCCATCCCACCACTGGTTGGGGGCCATGCTGTGGCAGCAACCCACATACAAGATAGAGGAACATTGGCACAGATATTAGCTCGGGGAAAATCTTCAGCTAAAAGAGGAAGATTAGCAACAGCTCAGGGTGACTTCCTCAGCAAAAAAAAAAAAGTTCCCTTAACATTCTCAAGTCCATTTCTTTTAGCACATACTTTTTCATCTCTGCAATAAAGATGTTGAACTTGACCCCCAAGTGCACAGTCACTTCTAACATTCTGTAATTTTGTTTCTTCCTATTTTTCTTTCAATATTCATTAGCAGGACCTGGAATGACCTCTTTTTAGTTAATTATCACTGCATTGCTATTGCCCGTACTTAAATGCCTCTGAACTAGCCCACTTTATCCATAAAATCTTTTCAACTTAATCAGTGGGAGGGAAAGTAGATTTATTCCATCCTACTCAAATTGGACTTAAAGTCATTATAACAAGCTCCCCCATCTCTGTTTTAGTTGTATGTGTTCGTCTGTTGAGTGTCACACTCAGTGCTGAAAACAGAATACAGAGAGACTTTCCTTGCCCTCTAGAGGAGAGAAATTATTGCAATGTAATATGGTAAGTGTTAAGAGGATATGTAGTAGGTACTATGGAAGCATGGAGGGGCACCCACTCCCCACTTGGAGAAACCTATGGAAGAAACTAGTAAAATAGTGAGTCTTAAGATTGAAAAGGAATTATCTGGGAGAAAAAAGAAAAGAAAGGTATTTCAGGCAAGGGGAACAGCATGTGCCAGTGCACTGGTGAGTGCAAGGAATTCTGCATCACTGGATCTTGAGGAGTAAATGGAGATTGCGTTAGAATGTTAGCCAGTACCTTGATTATAAAGGGTCTCATTAGCCTCTAGGGTTTTGGGCAGTTTTATCCTATGGACAGTGAGAAGCCATTAACATTTTTAAGCAGGAAGATACATAATAAGGTTCAGAACACTTTAGCAGAATTAAAAGCAGATAGAGCAAGTTAGCAGGCTACTTGAGAACTGGGACAATGTGAGTGATCCAAATAAAAAGAGGTAAAGGCTCGATGGTAACAAATAAGAGTCTGTTTGACAATTTTTGAGGCCCTCGATACATAGCCGTGTGGAGATTTTCAGTGTAGATTCTGTGGGGTGATGCCATTATAGAATTAAAGTAGAAAAGAGGTTTCTCTCCATTTGGCAAATTCATGGTGATAACATTACTGGAAGAGTGGAGGGTCATTTGCCTTTCCTTTCTACACAAAGAAATTGGTACTATTTCAGCTAATCCTTTTGAGTTCCTTACAGACTAGGAAAATCAATATCTTTAAAAAAAATTATTAAGTCATGTTTAAATTTTAATCTAGGCTTGTATCTGGGGCCTTTTGGAAACCAACCTAAAGTTTCTAGTTGTTCCTTAAATGAAATCGTTTTATTTATAAAGACTTAAATATTTAAATATAATTTTCTAGATGACATTTACATCCAGATCTTTAGAAAGACAAGGTAATGGCTGGCAGATTTAAAATTATTTTTAATGTTGAACTTCTTTGGTTTTTAAGAACTTTCTCAGGCATTTTAATTATGTTTTGTAATTTAGATCATAGAAATGAATGGCAAGTTAAGAAGAAACAGGCAAGAAATTGTGAATGGATTGAACATATTTTTGGAAGAAAATGGTATGTTTTCTAAAGTTCATTTTATTTCTTTAAAAAGAGCATTTTTGTTTTAAAATTTGCTTTCATTTTATCTAAAGATGTTAAATTACAGCAAGTTAACTTGCAAGACAGTGATGCTCTTCTACCCAAAAATATATTCTAAGAAATTCACTAATAATAATAGCAAAAAATTTTTCCATGTGTCTCTACATATAAATAGCTAAACGTATGTAAGGTCATTATCTATTTTGAAGTTCTTTGTACTTTTTTTTTGGTCTTTTCCCCTTAGCTTCCCTAGTCATATGAAAAAACTTACAGATCAAACATTTTCCCATATACACAGTGATAATTCTTGATGTCCCAGATACAAATGATTTCCCCTCCACACATGCAGTTTCTAATTTATCAAAGATTTTGTAGGAGCAATCAAGTTTTCTACTTAAAACCAAAATAAAATGTGCAGTCCTTCTCTGCCCACAAAGTTGGAAGAAGAGTACTTCATGTTTTCTAGGTTTCTTCAGATGACAGGTTTGAAGATACTCTGAATATACTAGTATATGACTAAGGCCTAAATTAGCACTTCTCAAACTTTAATATGCATATGAGTCTCCTGGGCGTCATGTTAAAATACATTTCTGATTCAGTAGGTCTGGGGTAGGGTCTGACATTCTGCGTTTTTGACAAGTTCCCAGGTAATGCTGATGCTCTTGGTTCAGGAACCACACTTGGGTTAACAAGAGTGCACATAATCCTTTGGCCAAATACTAGGTTTTTGAAGTGGAATACAGGTATATTTTTAATCCAAATATATACTGAAAATAAAATAATCAGAATTATGAGTGTGTTTATGGCTCTCTATTCTTGCTGGGAAGTCAGATTTGGGTTTTGTTATGGGACATCATTCTTTATCTAAGAAGTTGGATTTATATATTCTCAACAATGTTACTGAGGTAGCTGGCTCCAAAATGGCCACCATCAATTCTTATTTTCTTGTACACACAAGCCATTCCCCAATCAAGAGGTGGAGTCTATTCCTCTACTTCCTTGAATCTGGGCTAGTTTATGGTTACTTTGACCATTAGATTATAACAGAAACAATGGCTATATGCCTTCCAAGGTGAAGTCATAGAAGACTTGCAGCTTTCATCCTGGCTCTCTTGAAAGAGTTTCTCTAGGGAAGTCAGTCACATCATAAGAAGTAGATCTACCCTAAGTCTGCCATTCTATAAATACAAGCTAGCCAAGTGAAGAGGCCATATGGAGAAAGAGATGCTTCACTGCTTGGTTCCCAGTTGTTCAGCCATCCTAGCTCAGGTGCCAGTTTGTAAAGAAACAATAAATTTTTGTATGTTGACTTTTTATCCTATAACTTTACTGAATTTGTTTATTAGTTCTAACAGTTTTTTGATGGAGTCTTTAGGGGTTTCTATTTATAATATCATGTCATCTGCAAATAGTAACAGTTTTACTTCTTCCTTTCCAATTTGGATGCATTTTATTTCTTTTTTCTTGCCTAATTTCTCTGGCTAGGACTTCCAGTACTGTATTGAATAAAAGTGACAAGAATGAGCATTGAATTGAGCAAGAATGAGCAAGGATATTTTCCTCACCTTAGAGGAAAAGCTTTCAGCTTTTCACCATCATATTGATGTTAGCTATGGGCTTGAGGTATATGACCTTTATTATATAATAGTTGAGGTACATTCCCTCTATACCTGCTTTGTTCAGAGTTTTTATCATAAATGGATGTTGAATTTTGTCAAATGTTTTTTCCACATCTATTGAGGTGATGATATGATTTTTATCCTTCATTTTGTTAATGTGCTGTATCACATTGACTTATTTGTGAGTGTCAAACCATCCCTTTATCCCTGGAATAAATCGCATTTGATTATAGTGTATGATGCTTTTAATATATTGTGGAATTTGGTTTGCTAATATTTTCTTGAGGATTTTTGCATCTGTGTTCATCAGGAATATTGGCCTATGGTTTTCTTGTGGCATCTTTGTCTAATTTTGGTATCCGGGTAATCCTGGCCTGGTAAATGTGTTTGGAAGAGTTCCCACCTTCTTCTCTATTTGGAAGGATTTGAGGACAATTGGTATTAGTTTAAATGTTTGGTAGAATTCACCAGGAAAGCTGTTTGGATCTGCACTTTTGTTTTTTGGGGAGGTTTTTGATTACTGATTCAATCTCCTTGCTAGTAATCAATCTGTTCAGATATTCTGTTTCATTATGATTCAGGCTTGATAGATTGTGTGTTTCCAGGAATTTGTCCATTTCTTCTATATCTTCCAATTTGTTGGCTTATAATTGTTCATGGTAGTCTCTATGATACCTTGTATTTCTGTGGTATCAGTTGTAACATCTCCTCTTTCGTTTCTGATTTTGAGTTCTCTCTTTTTCTTTGTGAGTCTCCCTAAAGGTTTGCCAATTTTTTTATCTTCTCAAGAACAAGCTCCTATTTTCATTGATTTTTTCTATTGTCTTTTTAGTCTCTATTTCATTTATTTCTGGTCCAATCTTTGTTATATCCTTCCTTCTACTAACTTTGGTCTTTTTTCTTCTTTTTCTAGTTCCATGAAGTGTAAAGTTAGATTGTTTATTTGAGACTTATTTCCTGAGGTAGGCATTCATCACTATGAACTTCCCTCTTAGAACTGCTTTTGCTGCATCCTGTAGATTTTGGTACATTACAATTTCCATTTTTGTTTGTCTCAAGGTATTTTTTTTATTTCTTTTTTGACTCATTGGTTATTCAGTAGCATGTTGTTTGATCTCCACATATTTGTGAATTTTCCAGTTTTCTTCATGTAATTAATTTCTAATTTCATACCACTGTGGTTGGAAAAGGTGCTTGATATGATTTCAGTCCTCCTAAATTTATTAAGACTTGTTTTGTGGCCTAACATGTGATCTGTCTTGGAAAATGTTCCATGTACACTTGAGAAGAATGTGCATTTTGTTGCTTTTGGGTGGAATGTTCTGTAAATATCTGTTGAGTCCATCTGGTCTAACATGTTGCTTAAGGCCAGTGTTTGCTTATTGATTTTCTGTCTGGATGATCTATCCATTGGTGTATGTGGGATATTAAAGTCCACTACTATTATTGTATTTGCCGTCTATTTCTCCCTTTAGGTCTGCTAATATTTGCTTTATATATTTAGGTGCTCCTATGCTGGGTGCATAAATATTTACAAATGTTATATGTCTTGTTGGATTGACCCCTTTATCATTATGTAATGCCCTTCTTTCTCTCTTATTACAGTGTTTGTTTTAAAGTCTGTTTTGTCTGATATAAGTATAGCTACTCCAGCTTTCTTTTGGTTTCCATTTCCATGGAATAACTTTTTTTATCCCTTCACTTTCAGTCTGTGTGTGTCCTCACATCTAAAGTGTGTCTCTTATAGGCAGCATATAAATAGGTCTTGTTTTTTTATCCATTCAGCCACTCTATGTCTTTTCATTAGAGAATTTAGTCCATTTACATTTGAAGTAATTATTGATAAGTATGTACTTATTACCATTTTGTTAATTGTTTTCTGGCTGCTTTTGTAGTTCCTCTCTGTTTGCTGTGTTCCTTTGTGGTTTGATAACTTTCTTTAGAGGTATGCTTATATTCCTTTCTCTTTATCTTTGCTTTATTTATTATAGGTTTTTGCTTTGTGGTTACCATGAGGCTTACATGTAACAACTTAGAACAGTCTATTTTAATTTGATAACAACTTGTTTGATAGCATTCTAAAGGTCAACATTTTTACTCCCCCCACCACATTCTGTTTTTGATGTCACATTTTCTATCATTTTATCTTGTGTATCCCTTAACTAATTATTGTAATTGTAGTTTTTTAATTCTTTCGTCTTTTAACCTTCATACTAGCTTTATTAATAATTAATCCACTACCTTTATTATATATTTACTTTTCCAGCAAGATTTCTCCTTTCATATGTATTCTTGTTATTATACTTTCCCTATAATGAGATTTTTTTAATTTACAGACCACACTTAAAAACCTTCTTAACCAAAAAGTGCCAATTACAATTTAGAAAATTTAGACACAAATGTAAAATGTTATTGAATATTAAATATTAATAATATCTCAGTAGTGAAAATTTGGACTAGGGGTCAGAAACAAAGCAGTAGACTGGCTCATGGATTTCTGTGAAGCCACCAATCTGTCCATTGCAAATATGTACTTCAAGCAACTGAATAGATGACTGAATACATGGACATCACAAGATGGCCAATATAGAAATCAAATAGACATAATTGGAAGCAGGAGATGGAGAAGCTGTATTCTCTCTGCCAAAACAAGACCAGGAGCAGATTGTGGTACTGACCACAAACTGTTAACATCAAATATCAGGAGTAAAGCTGAAAAAAAGAGCACTAAAAGAATCGTATTGCTGGGACCAGCCCATTACTGTAGTGGTTGGGTTCATGCACTCCACTTCGGTGGCCCAGGGTTCACAGGGTCGGGTCCCGGGTGCAGACCTACACACTGCTCATCAAGCCATGATGTGGCAGCATCCCGTAGACAAAATGAAGGAAGACTGGCACAGCTGTTAGCTCAGTGACAATCTTCCTCAAGCAAAATAAGAGCAAGATTGGCAATAGATGTTAGCTCAGGGCCAATCTTCCTCACCAAAAAAAAAAGAAGAAGAGAATTGTAGTGCCAAAATATAATGTGAACAACATTCCTGCTGAATTTAAAGCTCACATAAAAATCAAATTTACATTGTTAAACTTAATTGACTAAGAACTAGAAAAACTATAGACTGGAACCAAAAATATTAGTAAGGAAGAATGCAAAAAGACAATGCTGGAAGTAAAAAGAAAAGAAAAATTGAAATGGATGACAGAAGAAGCACTAAAAATTGTTAAGGACAGGCAAGAAACAAAAGTAAAAGGTGACGAAAGTAGGGTTAGAATCCGGAACGCAATTTTTCAGCAACTATCAAGTAGAGAAAAAGAGAACCACTTAATGGCCAATGCAAAGAGATAGAGGAAAACCACAAA